GGGACTACGTCAAGGCTCAGGTCGTGGGGCCAGGGCATCCTGCTCGAGAGACAGGTGGGGATAGGTTTACAGTCTGGAGTGTGGACTCTTTGTTACGCTACATCGCCAAGCAGGCGGCGGCACAACATTGGTTCGCTCTGATCGACACCGGTGCACTTATCACAGGCCTTGACAACGCCGCTGTCGCAAAAGAGCTCATGAACCTCGGGCTTGCGGAGAGCGGCTTCAAGGGCGCAGTGTACTTGGACAGCGGAGACAACAAGGTCGTCTACATGGCCGACGGTCGTGACGGCGTGCCCTTTGCCACATGTGGCCTCAAGCCTAACGAGCGGTTCACTTTCTTTGACCAGGTTCACTGCACTGGGATGGACATCCCTCAGGTGTTGGGGGCGAAGAACGTGCCAGTATCCGCGGCCTCGCGGGTACGAGGCGTTGTGTCGCGGATGCCCCGCGCGGAACGTATCCGTGCGACTGCGTACTCCAGATTTCGTAATAAAGGGAGGGGGGTCTCATTTCGGGGGGGTCTCTTCCAGGCTATCTTGGAGGGCCTGGGGGGTCTGGGGACGATGTTTTGGAGGATTCTCCCACGGGGGAGGTCTGAAATGACCTGTCTTGGAGGGTCCAGACCCCCTCCTTTTTATTACGAAATCTGGAGTATCCGCGGGATCACACCCCAGAATTCAGACCGCGAGGGCGCGGATACAGATGTGTTCGTCGCTCGGGAGGTGCCCAATGCCGTCGGCGTCGCCACGCTCGGCAAGGGCATGACCCTCCGGGACCATGCCCAGGCCTGCTGGCGCATGCGCAAGTTCGGGCAGGGACAGGAGATCGTCCTGCTCGTGATACCCGAGGTCATGAAACACAAACATAATCTCCTCTTCCTCCTCCTCCTCCTTTTCCTCCTCCTCCTTCTCCTCCTTCTCCTCCCCCTCGTCCCCCTCCTCCCCCTCGTCCCCCTCCTCCTTCTCCACCTCATCCTCCTCTTTTGTTCCGTGCGGCTTGGAACGTGCCCGTCTGTGGAGGAAGCCATGCACCGGAAAGGGGGCAGGTGTGGAACGGTACCGAACTGGAGGCGTCACTCCTCTGGATGCGCCTCGGCCCGGCTGCGCTCGAAGGAGGAAGCGTGGAAGGGGGGCCTGTGGCTCAAGCCAGTTTCGTATGCCTCCCTGGTCAAAGGCCCAACCAGGCGACAGGCAGGGGCGTCCGCATGGCACGGGTTCAGGCCCTTCCTTGCAGGGCCTCTGGCGGACTCCGCGCCCCGCCTGTCGTGGTCCGCCACAGCGGTATCTGGCAATCGTGGTAGGCCCTCCAAGACGACAGCGCGATACCTCTCCGAACGCTCTCCAAGATTATTCATGACCCTCGCGCGAATGTGAAAACGCTGCATGCAAACGGGACAATGCACCAAACCAATGAGCTCACGTGTGCGGCGCCGGACACCATGCACGTTGAAAGCATGGGTTGCCAGCTGCTGCCCAGAGGCACACGCGTAGGAACAATCCTTACAAGCGAAGACATGACTGATCTCAGCCGTGCGGCTGGTTTTCCGTCACGGTTGCGGGCGATTCATTTCGCGCTTTATCTTCGCAGCTCGCAGAAAGGCTCTGAACAATTTGGGGTGCGCGCGGATCTCAGCGATTCACCGATCGATTGGCTGCGGCGCGCACTCGCTAAACGCTTCCGCGCGTGAGGCCAGAAACGCCAAATCCTCCGACGTGGCCTGTGTCCGCGATCTGCGCACACCAATGGTATGCGAAAGGATGACGCACAAAGTACGCGGCGCGCGATGACACACACGCGTAAACAAACATAAGCGCATGTAGAGAAGCATGATCGTGGGAGCGGTCAAACCCTCACACAATGCTGTCGGCGTCGCTACACTCTGAAATGGCCTGACCCTCACGGACCATGCCCAGGCCTGCTGGCGCATGCGCAAGTTCGGGCAGGGACAGGAGATCGTCCTACTCGTGATATCCGAGGTCATGGAGCAGACCAACAATATCCTCTTCCTCCTCCTCCTCGTTTTCCTTTTCCTTCTCCTTCTCCTCCTCCTCCCCCCCTCCTCTCCTCCTCCTCTCCTCCACCTCCTCCTCCTCCTCTCCTCCCTCTCCTCCTCCTCCTCCTCCTCCTCCTCCTCCTCCTCCTCCTCCTCCTCCTCCTTCTCCTTCTCCCCCGCAGGTCATGAAGCAGATCAACAACCTCAAGATGAAGGATTCGAGGCACTCGGTGAGGGATACCCCCAAGTCGGAAGACAACGAGGCGCCGAAGGAGCTGGACCAGCAAACCCTGTTGAACGACATCATGGCGTGGCTGCTCGATGGACAGATTGCGACAGAGCGCACCCAGAGGGAAGCTCTGTCGATACAGTCGATGAAGGACTGCTGGCGCCAGGGTGCGATGAAGGCAATGCTCGAGTCGAAGCAGCCGCCGAGGTTCCAGGCGGGTGATAAGGTGAAGGTGTTGCCCGATGCTGACGGCACCTTGGACATTTACGGGAACGTCAAGGAGCCGACTGAAGAAGACATGGTGGAGGTGGAGATCGTGTCGACGAACAAGCTCGAGACGGACGGGACCCTCTTGGTAAGTGGTCGCTTCCCTGGCGACGATGAGCCCGGGCAGAAGGAAGTCAAGCTGGAAAATGTGAAAGCGTCAGACGACGGCGAGAACTTGCGGTCTCGCTTCTACCCAGAGCTCCAGGGAGCAGCCGCAGAGGAGATCGGGGCGCAGAGGCTCAAGGCCCTGCCGGAGAAGATATCCGGGTGCCCTGCGGCGAGCGCCGCCGTGCCAGCGCGGCGCTCCAGCGTGGCGACCCATGCGAGCGCTGCCGAGAACGCCGTAAGATGTGACACCTCTGAGCCCTACGGTAGATTCGCGTCGTGTCGACCGGCGGCGACCCCGCCGCCGACGTTTAACGTTGAACGCCGACGGCGGCCCAGAATCGGTCGATGTTGAACGATCGGACGTTGCGGAGACGGCCGATCGTTCAAGGTTGAACGATCCAGCGCGGTGCCGGGAACCAACGCCGGGGTCGACACGACACGAACCTGGCGTAGGCTTCAGATTGAGCTCCCCACTGGGCTATGGCTTGGGCCGCTGGGGCTGCTTGCCGCAGGCCGCCCCACGCACTGCCGACTGAGCACGGGTGTTGTGCGTTTTGGCCCGCGTGTTGGCGAGCGCATGCGGCCACATCTACGCTTTGAACTTTTGTATTGAGAGCCGGATCAATACGCTCCATATTGAGTATTGCGTCTCGGGGCAACTAAGGTTGTAACGTGTGACGCTTCTGAACCCTAGGCTTCAGAGGGATGTGACGTGTGTCGTCTCGCTCCTGGTGCGGGAGGGACCTTGATTCTCTGGCTTACGCCACACCGCCGACCCCTTGGGGTGCTCTGTTCGGGTGCGTCGGTTTTTTTTGTGGGGCGGGCCCTGGGCAGTCCGGCTGCAGATGCAGGCTTTGTGGTGCACGTGTGCGTTTCGGAGCCTCTGGGGGGCTTCTTGGGGGTTCCTTGGGGCGTCTTGGGGGCCTCTTGGAAGCCTCTGGCGGCCTCTTGGGGCACTCTTGGGGCCCCCTGGGGCTCCTGAGGGCGGAAAGCTAGATGTTTTGAATTTTGGGGGCCTCTTGGTGCCGTCTTGGGGCCCTCTTGGGCCGTCTTGGGGACCTCTTGGGCCGTCTTGGGGCCATCTTGGGCCGTTTGGGGGTCGTCTTGTAGGCCTCTTGGGCCGTCTTGGGACTGTCTTCGGGGCCGTCTTGGGCCGTCTTGGAGCGTCGGGAAGCCGAAAAGGCGAAAAGACAAAAGACACCGAAAAAAACACAATGGAAAATCAACAATTTTAGCCTCTCGGGGCCCTCTTGGGAGGCTTGTTTGGGACCTCTTGGGCCGTCTTCGAGGCCTCTTGGCCCGTCTTGGGGTCATCTTGGGCGTCTTGGAGCGCTGGTTTGGCGTCTCGGGGCCCTCGTGGGCCGTCTTGGAGGCCTCTTGGGGCCTTCTTCGCCCATCTTTAGGCCTTCTTGGGCCCAGAAGAGCCCGTGAGTCGCTCGTCGGGCCCCCCCCCCCCCTCCAAATCGACCGGACAGGGCTCCCGGGGGAGGGGTTTGGGGAGGGGGGAGCATCTCACACGCCGATGATCCCCAAGGGGTCGGCCGGCGGACTTGTGGCAGTTCTGTCTACTGAGGTCTTTTGAGGGCCCACGGTGCCGTCCCATGCGACAGGCTGGTTCCGCAGTTCGGAGGATGCCGTAACATGGTGCATCATTCTCCACCAACCCTCCCCTCTCTACCCTTCCTCCCCCCCAGACGCCACCAGGGTGCGTTTTGCACCTCCCGACGCTTCATGTGTTTCCCTCGCCCTTTCCCCTGCCCCCCTCTCCCCCCTTCCACTTTTCGGCCCGCTGCCCTTCGAACCCTTTTTCTATTTTTCCCTCGCGTCCTTGTTCTTTGCCCCTCGAATGGGGGAATTCCCTTTCCTTTCGCCGGCGCAAAGGGGGGAAGGGGGAAAGGGTTTGACCTCCCCCCTCTTTTTGGACAACGGGATCCCGCCCTCGTCGAAAAAGGGGGGGTTCGAGGAATCCTTGGGATTCCTCGGATTTCCCCCCTCTTTTGGCAGCGGAGTGCCTATCGGGAGTCCTTGGATGCGGAGGGTCATGGACAATGGACCGAAGTATTGAGGATTCCCCCCTTGCCCCCCCTCCGGGTCGGCCCGCGGCGCGACCTCGTGGCAGGCCCCCGTGAATGTCGTTGTTCGCGGCCTGGCGCACTGCGTGTCCTTCGCGAGCTGTCTCGGAAGCCATCCCGGGCAGCTCGGAGGCGCTGGGCGCCGCCAGGGTGGCGTCGGGACATCTGGGGAACCTCGGGGTGGGGCGGTGGTGATACGGTTGGCTCGACGCGACGGGGCGGGGCCCCTGGAAAACTGCAGAAGCCCGGCAGCCGGCCGACCTCAGCACTGCATCGCTCCATTGCGTGCCAGAGGGCGCGGTGGCGGTTTAAACGCAAAACAGATAAAGAAAGATGGAAAGTGGTCCGCCCTCACGCCGGAGGACAAAGAGGATGTCAAGCGCAAATCGGTGGTTGAAAACACAGAAGAAGCCCTGAAGACTCTTCAAGGGAAATTCGACGAAATGGCCTCGTTGATGAAGTGGAAATATGGGAATCCAAAGCATCAGTTGGAGAAATTCAGGAAGGAATTAACTGAGTTACTCACGAAGCCTGGTTTCAATATCTCTGACTATGAGGTGATTGTGAAGGCATATTCCTTGAACATGAACGAAAACACGCCTATCATGAAGGAGCGCAAGATTCTTGTGAACGAGTGGTGTAGGATCAACTTGTTCGGACAGTCGGATAACAATTTTTGGGTGTACGAAGAGGAAAAGAAGGATGAAGATAAGGAAGACAAGCCGGAAGATGCTGACAAGCCGCCAGAGACCAACAGTCCATCCGAGGAGAAGACAGAAGAGACACCTCCAGGTGTACAGGCGAAAGAGGAGCCCGAGGTCAAGGCAATCAGACTTCTCGAGGCAAACCCTGGCTCATCGCATCTCCGCATCCGAGCCAACGTGGGGGTGTTCTGCGAGGAGATGTCGTCGCTGCAGGTTTCGACGGGGACAGTGCTAGAGGCCAAGACGCTGCTCAACGAGTTGACCGCCCTCAAGGACGAGCACCAGGTGCTGATTCCAAACACGAAGAGCATGAATGAGGCCGTCGCAGACTTGATCAGAGAGGCGACGCCTCAGGTTGACGCCAGCAAGGTCACCGCTGATGGAGAGCAGGGCCTGGATTCGGAGATGTGCCAGGAGCAGGAGCAAGAGCAAGAACAGGTAGTTGACAAGGGTCCAGGTGATGAACCTGATGATCGCACGTTCACCGATTTCGGGGACACCGTTCAGTGGCAGGTGTCAGACCTTCTCAAGGACGCAGGGAGGAAGAAGCTCTTCAAGGATGCAGGCACGTTCCATAGCATGAAGGACTTCGTGCCCCAGGGTGGCCAGATCGATGGCCATATTGTTAAGGCCCTGAAATTTGACGTGAACGTTTATCTCAGCTCGAACTACGCCGAAAAGAAGCTCAAGCAGGAGGCGACCGACGGCGCGCACAAGCGTCGCTTGCCGAATGCCGTCCTGCTCCTGTACGTGAAGAACGGAAAAGACGGGTGCTGGGCTATCTTGAACATGGCCGAGGCAGAGACGCTGCGCATGTGGATGCTCAACACCAGTTCTCGGGGCGGCAGCCCAGCGGGCTCGATGGGCATCGTCACCACCCGCGGGGAGTGGCTCACGAAGCCGGTGGATGACAAGGAGTTGATCATCAAGCCGGAGGTGAGGGACCCGCTCCGTGAGGGCAAGGCGCCCCTAAGGGCGGCCGCGCCGCTGGTCTTCTCCAGGTTCTTCAACTGGGAAGTCTACTACGACGAACAGGAGCACGGGCGGAAATCCAATCGATGTCCGACGGCATCTTCTTTTCTCTGCCCCCCTCCTCGGGGTGTGGTTTCCGCCCCCCCCCCCCCGAGCCTTTGTGTTTGTCCGTCGCCCTGCTCTTTTCCCTCCTTCCCCTCTTTCGGGCCGCTGCCCTCCGAGCCTTCTTCTCTTTTTGCGAAAGCCTCACGCCCAGTGTCGCCGACCCGGAAGGGAGACGACGGCGACGGCGACGGCGGCGGCGTCGGTGACGACGGCCCGCTGCCCTCTGAACGCTTCTTGCGTAGCACCCCGCAGCTGCGGATCAGAGCGAGGGGGCGGCGGGGTCGTCGTCAGTCCGCGGAGCTTTGGAGAAGCCCGCCGCAGGCACCGTTTGCTTCTTCTTATGCACGTGTGTATGTGCTTGTGTATGTCTGCCTGTCTGTCTGTCTCTATGTATGCGTGTATGTATATATGTATGTGTGTGTGTGTGTTTATGCATGTGTTTGTGTATGCATGTAATGTAGTGCAGTGTACGATAATGTAACGTAATGTATTGTAATTTAATGACATGTAGTAATTGTAAAGAATGTAGATATGTAGGTAGGTGTCCTCTGTAGGTAGGTGTATGTATGCCTGTCGGTCTGTCTGTTTGTATGAATGTGTATGCACGTGCGCAAGAATATGCTTATAGTTCTCTATGCTCATGCATGCATGTATGTATGTATAGATATGTACATATATGCACCATACGTATGTATGCATGTAGTGTATGACTGGGTGCATCTTAGTTTGTATGTATATCTACGCATGCATGCATGCATGCATGTGTGTAATCATGTATTCATGTGAGCATAGTTATGTGGTCTGTATGTGTGCATGCATGCGTGTATGCGTCTTTGCATGTCTGTAGGCATGAGATGTAGTGCGGTGCGGTGTAATGTAAGATAGTGTCATTGCATAGAATATGATGTGTGCGTGCATGTACGTATGTATGCATGGATGTATGTATGCATACATGTGTTGTAAAATTGTATGCATGAGCGTATGTAATGTAGCCTAGTGGTGTGTAGTATACTATAACGTTTTGTATTGTAATGAAATGGCATGTACTGTGATGTAATACGGTATGGCGCCCTGTGGAGCAATGCAATGTACTGATTTTAAACTGAACTGCCATGTATTGCAGTGTAATGGGATAACACGCAATGCAATCTAATGTAATGGAGTGCGGTTTACTGTAACGCAATGTCTTGTGCTGTAGTATACTATTAAGGCAGTTCCGTGCAATGCAGTGTAATACCATTTAACGTATGTGTGCATGCATGTACGTATGCAGGTACGCATGTATGTGTGCATGCATGGATGTATACAGGTATGTGTGCATACATAAATATGTATGAATGTATGTAGATCAGAGTGAGGGGGGCGAACGGTCATTCATTGTCCCTGGGCGCGTGGCTGAATAGGTAATTTGTGGTGAGGATTCTGCTTGTTGCGTTGTTGTTGTTGCTGCTGCTGTTGTTGTTGTTGTTGTTGTTGCTGTTGCTGTTTGTTGTCGTCGTCCCGCCCGCGACCCACCCCGCGACCCACCCCGCGACCCACCCTGCGACCCACCCGCGACCCAACCCGCGACCCACCCGCGACCCCGCGACCCACCCCGCGACCCACCCGCGACCCACCCGCGACCCATCCGCGACCCATCCACGACTCACCCGCGACCCACCCCGCGACCCACCGGCGACCCACCCCGCGACCCACCCTCAAGGAGGCGAAACCACCCAGACCCGACCATTGATGTTTATTAAACGGCCCTGTGCGTTTACTAAACAGCCCTACCGTGTTCGATTCATTCCTTGTGTGCGTTTATTCACCGGCTTCGATGGATGGATTTTCTGCTCTCTACACCCGCGACCCACCCGCGACCCATTTGCGACCCACCCGCGACCCACCCGCGACCTACCCACATGGGTTTAGCGAAAAAAGTCGGCTCCTGCGGCGGGCTCGTTATATAATTTGTGAAACTTTGGCGCCTGCGGCGGGCTTTCCATAGTCTCGCAAACTGCCGACGTCCCCGCCGCCACCTCACTCTTATCCGCATATGCGGGTCAGGTCAGGTAAGCCTTGCACCAGTCGGTGCGTGAGCAGAGAGAAAAACAAAACGAAGCCAACATGCCTTTAGCTGTGTGGCCAAACCTTAACTACGCGCTCCCACTCGCGAGCTGCACCGCCGTCTTGGCGGAAGTAGTCAGCGAGTCGCGCATGGGAGCCCGCCACTTGTAGTGCATTCTTCAACACAAGGTGCCCCCAAGTTTGGCGAGGCCTGCCTCGCCTCCTCGCTCCGGCAGGCTTACGCAAGTCCAAGGTTCCCGGTTCGAACACCGAGCGTCGGACTGGGTCGCTGCCGGGTCGCCTCGCCAGCTGCCCCATGAAAACCATCTGTCTTCTGGCGAGGTGGGTGCTGAGCTTATCTTCCCCAGCAATGTTGAGAACGGCCGCATTAGAAACCCTACTATAATACGCATGAGGAATTCGGCAGATTCTCCGGAGGCAGCGGTTCTGGAAAGCATCCAGCCTCTGCCGCTCCGCTTTATTTAAGCATGCGGCAAAGAGCGCGTACATTAGTTTAGAAACAATGCAAGCGTTGACAATGTGTATTTTACGACGCCTGCTCATTCTTGCATGTGACCAAATCGAATGCAACACCTTAAAATCTTGAGTTGCTGCTCCTAGTTTGCGGCTTAGCTCAGATCCGATCCGCCCGTCTGCCGACAATGACGTTCCGAGGTATATGATGGAGCTCTTGCTTGCGATCGGCTCTCCGGCATTGTTGTAGATGTCGCCGTTTGCCCTGACTTTCATGAGTTCGAGCTTGCCCCAATTGAAGCTCAGGCCGTAGTGCGCCCCACAACCCTCGATGCAATTCATCAACTCCTGCACTACCAAAGAGTCGCTGTCGATCAAAAGAGTGTCGTCTGCATATACCAAGTCCCGGACCAATTGCGTTGCTGTCTGTGGCCCGACGCGCCGGTGAAGCTCCGCATGGGAGTCAGCCAATAACGTTGTCATCACGATGGTGAACAGAAACGGTGACAGAGGGCATCCCTGACATATTCCATAGTGTTGAGGTCGCTCGTGAGAGTTGGATCCAAAATCCGCAACGATGAATGCCCGCCTCTCGTAAATTGCCGAAACCATCTGCACGAAACGGCACGGACAACCGAATCTACGCAGGGAGGATGCTAAAGCAGCGGGCGACACCGAATCGAAAGCTTTCGCCCAATCCAGCGCCAGGAAATAAACTTTGCCATCTCGGGTGCTCCATGCGTCCTCAAGGACCCTGCGGGCTAGAAACACTGCGTCGGCCGTGCCACGTTTAGATCGAAAGCCAAACTGTGTCTGCCAGATTCTGTCTTCAGCCCCCGCGTGCTTCAGCCGCCGTAACAACACAATCGCAAACATTTTGTAACCAATTGGTAACAAGCTGATTGGTCTATAGTTATCGCATTCTGCAGGGTCCCCCTTTTGATAGATCATCCGCACTCGTGACTTATGCCAGTCATCAGGCACTTGCCCACTCTCCCAGACAATGTTGCAGAAACGCGTAACCCACGAAAGCGCCGTAGATCCATCCTCCGTGGCTGTCCTCCAAAACTCTGGCGGCAAGTCGTCGAGCCCTCCAGCTTTTCCAGGCTTAAGGGTGCGGGCTGCACGATGTACCTCGTCTTCCGTGATGGCGCCAAGGTTTACGTTTAACTCGGTCTCGTAGAGGGCGTCCGTCGGCATAGCGCTCGTCGGCCACACTGCCCATTGCACCCGCTCCAGGTGCTCAGCAAGCGTGTCGGCCCGGCAATCGGCGTCCACCATCTCCCCTCTGGAACTTCTGAGCCTCCCCTGCTGTCGGGAAGCGCCCTTTCGGAGCCTCCGTATTTGGCCCCAGTCTCCGTCGGCTGTCAACTCATCCAGCCAAGCCGCTCTATCCTGCGCCACTGCTGACTTAATCTGTTTCACAAGGGCTCGCTCCTCTTCTATTTTCCCTAGTCTCCTTGCCGTGGAGCGCCGCTCGATGAGCTCGAGAGTGCGAGGTCGGATCCAAGGTTTCCGCGGCCTTCTCGGTTGCGCTGGCAAAGCGACGTCTGATGCATTCCGGAAGCCATCGACAAGTTGGCACCATGCGAGGTTCACGTCATTATTGCCGGGCGCCGCCTCCTGGAAACTGTCCAAAGAATCAACTAACACGTTAACGAAACGTTGCTGCGAAGCGTAGTCCCGGAGTTGACTAACATCAGGCTGGCGTTTGGGCTCTTCCGTCAAAGCCTTCTCCACGTTCATGCGGACGCCGGCCTTCACCAAGAAATGGTGCGAGGACACAGGAACGTCCGACAATACAGACACACCGGTAACGTTATGAGCCCATGATTGCTCACAGACCACGTAATCTATCTGGGAGTGCGTGCGCCAGTCCACGCGGCTCCCTGCCCGGCAGCCGACGTTGTAGCTCGTTGCCAACTGCTCTTGCGACGACTGGAAGAAGGTATTGGCGAGGCACATCGATAATTGTGAGCACATTTCAACCAGCAGATACCTGTTGGCATCTTCCTTACAACTGTGGCCCGGGTGCCTGAAGAAGTAAGGGCCCACAATGAGGCCTTCATCGTCGAACGTGTCGTACAGCTTTGCGTTGAAATCGCCGAAAATCAGCTTGGGGCCGTGCGATGAACGGGAAGTGACGAACTCTCCCAAGTCATGGTAGAAGCCCTGTCGCTTTGGATTGTCGTACCCAGAATGAGGAGCACAAGCGGAGAACACCACCGCCTTCCCACCCGGCACACGCAATTTCAAGGACGCCATCCGGTCAGAAGCCTGACAGAATCCAACTATAGATTGCCTGAGACCGGGGTCGACGATGAAACCGACTCCTGCCCTGTCCTCCTCCTCCGTGCCCCCCTTGCCGCCCGACATGATCACAAGGAAACCGGACTCCGTGATAAACGTGTCGGATTTAGGTATCCACGTTTCTTGAA